AATAAATTTGAGAAGTGTGCCTCTTGGTCCTTTTGAAAAGAATCTGCTCTCAGTCTGATAGAAAATCAGAACCGTTTGGGACATCTAATCCATTCCTAACAGTGTGCAAGATTTCAATGCTCAACACCACAGGACTGGAAAATGTAGCAACTTTTCCGAGAACTGGACAGTTCAGAGTAGGACGAAGTACGATATCTACCCATTGAGGTGGGATGATCTTATCCTCATTTTCTTCCCAAACTTGCAAATGCAAAAACTGTTCACTTTACGTGCACAGGCACATAAAGTGGTTCCTCGTATGAGTATGTCTAAAAGAGTATTGAAGAGAAGGTCAGTGATCAAGATCTCAAATTCTGGTCCCAAAAGCCCAACTGGTATATTTAATTTGGCACTTACCAAGATTTTAATACTGGCATTGCACTTCTAGAGGTTGTGACATCATCTTATCCTGTTGGTAAATACATCTCCAGCAAGTCACTACTAAAATCTTCAGTTGCACATAGCAAAGCTTAGTTTATACTATTGTTGTAGGTGCTGAATATGTAATCAAAGTACTGTCAAGCCACGAGTGATAACCTGATAAGAATTAAAAGGCTGACACACTTTGAAGTAGGTTTTCGTCAACCCGCAATGCTAGCTGCTAACTTCACACCTAGTATTGCATACTGCATCCTCAAGTGCTTATTTTCATCTTAACCTTCCAAACACATTTAGCTCAGATCTATATTACTATGAAACAAACTCTGATATGAAAAAAATCTATGAGAAGGGCTTTTTAATCAGCAGAACATAACTGCAGAAGATCACACACAGTATTTTTATTTTTTTCTTAGAACTTCAGAGGAGAGACACAAGTATAACTTCAACTATGTTCACACTGTGCAGCTAACTGGCACGCCCTTTATGCAACAAAAATGGCCATGACTATCTGCTCTGTATTAAAGAATTCACAAATTTTGTTGACATTTTACTGCAGTCTCAACATTAAGACTCTATTACCTAGAATTTTTATTTTGTGACTGAAATATGTTTGAAAAAGATACTAAAATATAAAGAAATTGGCTTTGTACAAACTGTGTAATTCCAATACATATTTAATAGGCTTCCCACAGATACACATGCCTATGCAGGCTCTGAGTTCAGTAAATAGATGCAGAAAAACTGTCTTTCAGATGGTGAACAGATTCCTAGCTGGGAAAGATATTGGCCAGTCTAGAACGAGATTTTTGCATGATGTTGTGTTTCAATTCACATCAGAAAACCTACTCTGAATATTGGAATTGCAGAAGGAAAGTTGCCAACATTTTTCTTTTCTTCATCCTGATCTTCACCTCCATTAAGGCAACCCCCCCATATTTTCATGAGAAGCGTCAGACTGGCTATCTGAACAGTTCCAAGACTTAACCACTTGTATTGTGCGGATATAAGCTTCATAGCTTTCAAAGTCTACTCTGAAGATTCTGAGATCTGGCTCAAAGAAAAACATGCACAGGGTACTAGAGAAATTGTATTATATGTATGTGGTCCTACCATTTAGGGAAATTAGCCCCGAGGTTTTTGAAAACTGTCACTGAGAAAAGAAACTACTGTTGGGCTGAAAATTATATTCGTTCACATTTTAAGAAGGTACAAACACAATTCCATGTATCCCAACTTCAATAAAAAACCCGGAGACCCTTTTTGTATGTAAGAAGTCATTATTTAAGGATTAAGATGTGACTTGTGTTCATACTCCAGCTGAAGCTCATCAATGATGAATGTAGTTTGCTTTAACAGGGTACACATGGTAGACAACTAGACTTCCAGTATTTAGGAGAGAAAATATTCTGGTGATGCAAGATTTTGTGTAAAGTCTGAACCCTTAACAAAAAACAAAAAAAGGAAGCGGGGGGAAAAAAAAAAGAAAAAAACAAACCCCATAAGCATCACACATATACATCTCTGAAGACTGCCTGGAGCCAGAGGACAAGAATTCAAACACCAGGAATTTATATGTATAAAGGCATCCATTACAGCAGACTTTTAATTTGCAATCAAATGACCAACTCATCTAATTTCAAACTAGAAGACATTAGCAGCTAAAAATAGTTCAACATTCAGGTGGATATGCCTATCAAAGTACTGCTGCTGATGAATAGTACGACGTATTCCTGTTTTTGTTAATTCACTGGAGATACGAGCAGGGAAACAATCTACAACTACTTGTGTCGCGGCACACTGTGATTTTGGGTAACAGTGCTCCACTTCAGCATGTATCACAGACTATAGGTGTAATATTTGCACTAACTGGTACTGACAGGATATGGTTGTGATGATTGAAATACATCATTTTAATGAACTGTTGTCTTCACTGAATTCTGTAATAATATCTGACAGCTTTCACTGCTGTATGAATTACTCTCTGCTGGTACAATTCATTTTTGTTTTGGTTGAGATACTGTAAGACCGTATTTCTAGGAAAGCAGGTTAGGTAAAGGAAAGACTGCCAGTAACGAGTGAATGTAACATGAAGGAGAAAGAAAACGACTGCATAATGAGCCTGGATATGTAGTGAAAAAATATACTATGACTGAAAATGTGCTGAATGTCTGCAGTGCTGATTCTACGCATTTGAATACTGAATGTAGGACAGCGGAAACACCCTGTCAAGATCTGAACAATATTTTGCAGAAGCCATAGTTATAATACCTGCACACTTGCAAATAAGACAAGGAATTCAACTTGCACATTCTCAAAGAGAGAAAAAAAAAAAAAACAAACCAACCCTAGCCTACCACAGTGTACATGATCAAAGTGGACTAAGGTTTCCGGACCTGCCAGCTGGTTTGGTTAGGATTTGATGGAAGGAAGCCTAAGTATTAATTTCATAATTATCCTGCTCTTGAACTAGCTGTCAGGGAATCTAGGAGGCATTTTGACAAGTAAGGTAAACAAAGCAGAAAGGTGTCCAACTTACAGAAGATGACAATTACCTTAGCAGTTCAAACAAATAAAGCATTCTGCTGTCCAACAGGAATCTCTCAGCCAACTATATATAATTTTTAGGAAATTTGCACGTCCCTGGGCTGACAGAGGGCAACTGGAACATAAAAAATGCTAACCACATCTATGAAGTTTTTCCAAGCCATACTGGATGCTGAAATAATGGAAGCAAGGAAACTGTTGAGATAAGAAAAGGATACATCCTTTTATGCTAATCAAGAGCACCTTTCTCTGTTATCTTCCCATAAAAGAAGATGGAAATCTTATGTAGGTAACTGTAGAGTTCAGAAAAGCCTACTAGAAATATTTGCAAAGACGAGAACTCAGACGTTTTAGAAAGCAGCTCCATTCACGACGCCCTAGTTTAAAAAAAAACAAATAACTTGAATTTTTTCCCCTCCCTTAATCAAAAACAGTGCTGTACATTTCAAGACCACTAGCAGAAACCAGAAAGCAAAGCTCTTTCATGTCTGTCTTTTCAACGCTTTAGAAAAAGACTCAAAATATTTTTGACATTTAAAAAAAATACTGTCATTTTAACTACTAAGAAATTCAAATATGCTTCATATGTACAAGCTAAATTGCCATAGACAGTTCCACTAAAAAGCACAGAGAACATTCATTTATGTAGACCTGTAGGCAACAACCACCAATACAAACATTTCAGCGGAAGCTACACAATTCCTATCATGTTTAACAGTTCAATTCCATGGAGACATGTTTCTACTGTGTCCCAAATGGTGATTAATTTATGTTACAAAGTGTGTCCCAAGTGGTCATTAGTTTATGTCAGAATCTTTGTAATATCATTAACAACATATGCTTTTAATTTCTCTAAGTATATGTGTGCTTTGAACATTGCCATGCAACTGCAAACAAGTTCAGCATTGCTTTGTCACTGCATCCTTTAAGTGACAGAAATAATAAACACACAAACATATGTTTCTCATGAATCTATATTACTGCTAAAAATCCAATTCTGATTTTCTTTCTTCTCATCCTGTAGGAAAATAGAAGACAATTCATTTTGACTTTTTTTTTGATGTTACCAAGGAATGGAAAGGTAGGTTATTAATGATGGCTTCAGTAGTAACTCACTATACAGCCTTGAGTAAAGGACTTCACCTCTTTGCTTAGTTTCACCAAATGTAAATAATTGTATCACTTGCCCAGTTTAGGGATTCCATGGGAATTAGGTAAGACTCGTCTGGTTTTTTGGACTTGCAAATATGCGACCATATTAAACATTTCTCATTATTAATGCCTGTTGTCTTGTACTAACTCTTGTAACGTGATTTAAATAAGTTTACAGTATGGAGTTCAAGCTACACTTCTTTATTAAGTTTTGTACTTCAAGATTAATTTTTTTCCAGTATTATGAAGATTAAGCCATATTTTCCCCTTAACCGAACAACTCTGCTTTGGATATCATTTTTTTTTCCCTGATAATTCACATCTTCAAATTGATTTTTACAATTGGCTCTCTGGGAATTATAACAGCTAGGTTTTAGACGTTCTTTGGTCCTGAAAAATGTGTTATGGAACTCTAGCGTAATTATAAATTTGGAGACTTGGGCATAGGCCTCATTTTGATTTGAGGGATTAATAGCAGGTTGCCTCTCTAGTACTCCTCCGAGGATTCCAAAGGGAATTCTCCTTTATCAAAATGGCAAGCATTTCCTGATGTGCTGTCAGGACAGAGATTACAAACTACCCAGAGATGGTCCTTCCACAGTTCCTCTGAGTTCTTCTACCGGCCTTCTAATTTCCTGGAGGACATTTGTCTATTCTGAAAATAGATTAGCTTCACTTTTACTGGAATCAATTAAACATGGTATCTGGCCAGAACAGCTTGTGGCTTCTGTCCCACTGAAAAGCAAGTCAGATAAGAGTCATCTGAAAAGGGGTATTCTAAAAAGGACTGGATACACGCCCTCATTCTGATTCAAAACGTGAAAGTATGGCTCCATTTTGAAACTAGACAATCTTTACAAGTTTCTTCAAAGAAGATTTTATACAGTCCTGATACGGATACGTTTGGTGTGGCGAAAAATAACTACAAATCTGATAGTGAATATTTCATTTAAAAGTTGTCCATTGCCTAAGGGAAAAGGAAGAAAAAGAAACAGAGTATCAATCTAAAAGATACCAGGAGAAGTTAGGCTAAACTCTGGGCCTTTTCACATTGCTCTGATGGTACAAAGCAACTAGTTTGACTAGCCAACATGGCAATTTAAGCAACATTAACGAACTTCTTTGGTGAGACTAAAGCAAAACAAACAAACAAACAAACAAAAAACCTCAAACCAACCAAAACTATAACGGCGGTTTATAATCAGCTCAATCATGTCTTGCACTGCACACTGTCAAGATGTGTTAATAATAAAAAATGTGCAGTGTCATCATTGCATGGTATCATTCCAAGGAAAGCTACAGTTGATTAGGGGTTTCTAATTAAATGAAATACATCCCCGCTTAATTTCTTTAAAATGTCTACTAACCCTAGATTTCCCAAAATTAAAATGCTTCTTATCAGAAGAAATAAAACTATACTCAGCAGTTATAACAGAAGCTAAGAATCTTAATGTAGGCTTAAGAACCAAAACAAAAAAGGAATTATTTAAATGAACTGGGAATTAATCATTGTCATACACACCTGACCCTAGGTGAAGAAATGAAAATTCCCACTCTTGATGTAGAAAAGCAGAAAGTGTCAACAATTATTTTTGTGTATATTTGGAAATATGTAAAAGAATGTATTAATACCTTAATAACAAGATACTATATTAGAGGTTGTACAGGATAATTAACAGTGATCATGACAGATTAGTTACTTTTTAAATTTGCACCTGAAGAAATGCACCAAAGGATACTAGTAATGACTGAGTATTGATGTAAACAATTACATTTTTTAGAATTTTAAAATAAAATTTTGATTATGCAAGAAATTTCAGGGAGCTAGACAGCAGTTACGGTGTTAAATGGAAAGGGAAACAAGTAAGTGACGGATTAAAAAACAGCAAAGAGAAAGCAGCAATGGCTCCAATTCACAGACGTTTATTCACCCTGAGGCCTGCTGCAGGACAGTAAAGAATTGCATTTGTCTGTGGCCTAATTCCACCATATTTTGCACTACTGAAAGAAACCAGAGAAAAATGGAGAACTGGTCCAATGACTATATAATGGATAAACTGAAGAAAAAACAAATTCTGAATGTTCTGACTTTGGTGAAAATGATTTCTCAAGCTTAAAGCATAAATAACAATGTTTGCATTTAACATACAGTCTCCAGCATATGTCTGCAAAACTAAATAACCGCCTGTGTTTACATGAGATATATGATGTTCAGTTTAATTTGCATATCAGAGATCAAGTTGTAAATCTCTGACGATATTTACAGTTGGATAATTGAAATTAATCCTGACAAAATGACTTTGACAGTCCTGAATTTATGATCTGAGAAAACAATCCTGGAACTGTTTGCTGAGCTATTAACATGGCTGGCTATATATTCTCAATCTGAGCCATGCGCTGAATAAAAACCTGTTCACAAATTATAAGCCTCTTCCTTCCTTCCCCCTCTTCGTGTTCAAGTTGCTTCCCACAATCATTAAGAAGATGGGATAACCTTGAAGACAGCAGTTATGCATGTGTTTTGCTGCCTTTTTTTAAATTTTATTTTTCTAGCCATGGCAGGTACATTAGTTATCTTTCTTTCTCCTCCCCCCCGCCCCCTGTAGATGTTATGCCCTTTTCTTTTTAATCTCCTTTAAAAGCAGCCAATTCTCCCAGCAGAAAGCATCAAGAAGTTCCAACACCAGAACTCAGCCTCCCTCAAATTCTTCAGATCCAAAGTAACTTGAATCATGGTTGCATCTCAGCATGTGTCTGTGTCTTCAGGGAAGACAAAAGGTGCTTGGATTTTTGTTTGTTTGTTGGTTTTCTGTTTTGTATTTTAAACTCAGAGCATATCTTTAAATAGCGGGCACATAAGTTGTTAAGGAGAAGAACACTGTTAACTACAGAGCTACCTCACATTATCCTCCTGGTAAGAATGCCATTTGTGGCTAGATATATGACGGAAACTTCCAACATACACAAAAGAAAAATGCTCGTGAATAATATCCATTGAAAAAAAAAAAAAAGAGCAGTAGTTTCACCTTCTAATAAAACAAAATTCAAACAATTAGCAGGCTGAATTTTCTTATCATTGGCAAAGAATTACATAATTCATTAAAACTGTTGGCAACCTTTTTCCTATTTAAGAGATGTTGCACCTCGTATTCTTTGGACTCCAATAATGGATTTGATGATTGTGAACATTGCACCTTGGGTTTTGGTGCTAAAAGATAGCAGCCAGCCTCCCCACTTCCCTGATACCAAGTTTTCAACCACAGAGAACTCTGTTATGGGTATTTCAAAAGCTATGTTTATAGATAAAAGAAGTATGCTTCTAACATATAAAAGCAGCTTTTTGAAATCTGGAAATAAAAAGACAACTACCACCCATTACAGAAATGTATGTATTTATATTTGCAGCATTTATTTACAACGTATCTCTTTTAGAAAGGTGGCAGTGATAGCTTTGATACTCATCTTGCATTCTTTTCCTCCCCCTACAATATGCTGCTTTCCAGGACCATTCAGTTTGAAAGCAAGCATCCATCCAAATATACAATATTAAGGAAGAAAAACAGCTGTCGTTTATAAAATGTTAATTCCTTATTAGTGGAAAGAATAAATCACTAGATTAAGCAAAATAACTGTGACCACTGATTATTATCCTACCACAAGTATGTTACCTTGTGCTCTGTCCCCTGTTCAGAGCTTGTGTCAACTGGCAGAGACACCTGGAGTGGGAGAAGTCTAAAGGTGACAACTAGATAAGCACATACTCTGTGAGGATGGGAAGAAAAAAATTTTCTAAGCATCGAAAACCCTTGTGGTAAGCCTGCTCCACCTTCCCATTTTGTTGCACACACCCAGACTGTAAAGGAGTCTGAAGGAGGTTACATATTTTTATGACACCTAGCACAGCTGGCTTCATTCGTATCAGAGAACTCCAGGCACATAACAAATTTACAGGTGACACTCTGGGAAACATCTAGGATTAGCATCGCCAAACTCAGTCAATTAGCTTGGCAATTAGTACTGCCAAGTCAAAATACACTGCAGGTTCTTTTGTATAGCATTTCTGTATATAAGCTTCAGCAAATTAGCAATCCACACTGTAAACTACCAGCCTGATTAATCTGTCGATAGCTTTCCCTTATTTCCACATCTTGCCATATATTCTGCACGGGTTGATATTTCACATGAACTCGTCAACATGGGCATAAGGATCAATCGCAGCTGACTGTTCTGCAGAATTAGGTCTTCAGGCGGGATGTCTTAAGCTTGAAACAGCCACGTCTTCTTGTCATCAAATCCCTTTTTACAGAAGCTCTTCAAGAGCTCATTTTATACTAAGTGCATACACCACATACACTACACATACACTACAGCACATCTTAAGAATTCATCTAAACAGACCAGCTAATCAGAACTCAACTGTCTTTTGGACTTAGGTAATGTAACATAAATGAACACACGGGCTTTTATTGTGAACAGACGGAAAGTCCACCAGCGAGGACTCCAAGTGAGGCCTTTTTATTTTATACTCTTAATACTTCTATTTTAAGCATACCATGCCACATTTTTGTGCCACCTCCTGCTCCCTTTAGCCACTGAGATTTTTGCATCACTTAAGGTTTCAATAATTATATCCTGATACCTAGCCTTTCACATCATGGCTGTGCTCCTTACTCTCTTATTTTCAAATGCAAAATGCACATCAGATACACCGAAGGTAGAAATGAGAGTTGGTAATGAGTGTGAGTGGGAGGCATGGGTTGGTGATGAAGATTTGCTTTGATTCCTCTGACTACAAAAGCCTCCTCGGTAGAGAAGATATTTTAAAGTGTCTAAACGAAGCCTTTGTCTATGCAAATTCAAAACCGTTCTGACATAAAACTAAAGCTATTCTTAGTATTATTTCTTAAAGGTCATGAATATGCCATGAAGGATGATCAAAGTATTAGAATCCTACAACAGGTTAAGAAAAGAAGCAACAATACAATAGATTTCCAGTGTTTTCATTTGTAAGCAAAACACTGACCATTAATTCTTATTACTGATAGTAAGGGTGGAAGCATCATCTGTTATCAGAACTGGCTGACAATTTCTGTTATAAAACCCACTTCTCAGTTGTCTTGAACTTTGCCAAACTTTAACTGCTTTGTCTATGATTTTACAAAAATTGAATATTTGTTTCAAGCTTTTAAGTAGCTGCTCTCAGCCAAAATAATTCCGAAAAACTCATGAAAAGATGCATTGCTTATCCCATTTTGAAAACAATGGTTTTATTATTATTTAATGCTTCCTCAATTTATGATTTGAAAGCAAGACTGAAAATCTGATACTGAGAGAGTTTTAATTAGCTCTCAGAAAAATCTGGCTGAATCACAACATATTGAAAAATCTCAACTCATACATGATTATCAGAGAAGTGCTTCACTTCTACAACAAAACCCCTCAACACTCCTGCTTCACCAAGCACACTCCTAAAATAGGTCTCTAGGTCCCAACTGCAGCAGACCGGCAGTGATCTAGGCAAAAGGAATGCTTTTTCAGTGACGCTTCTTTCCCTGCAGTGGCCAACAAACTTGAAGGAGTAGTCACCTCATTCAAACGCAAAGGAAGAAGACGACTGAGAGGAAATGGAGAAATCCATTAGGACTGGATAATAAAGAAAACAGGGAAGACACCTGTGAGACTGCAGACTTGCCTGTGGACAGATGACAATCAGTTGTTAAAAATCAGACCTAGTACTGTACAGTGGTGTCAGTAACACTACTCCTAAGTCATTCAGGAGTCTAGAAGGAACAGTTTGGAAAAAAAATAAATCCATTCCATTCCTTTAAGGTGTAAATTAATCAAAACGTGTCACCTCAAATAAAACTGAAGTAAGTAGAGGAATTAATAATTAATTGGTAAGCAGGAATATACTAATATTCTAGAAACACCTTCACAGAAATGCATTTGCCTGGATAATAAAGAAAATGAAGAGGCATATGTTGATTTTTTAATCAGGAGCCTCCTTGCCGAAATATATATAATGAATAAAATAAATTTCCACATGTCCAACCTTAAATTAAAGTGTGGTGTATACTCATGAGCTAGAAATACTACACAGAAAACTTACTTAAATTTTTGTTCAGTTACTTACTAAATTACGTACTGAAGTTCCACAGAGCTCTGACCTTAAAAAAAAACCAACACAGAGTAACAGATGCCAAATAAAAGCAAATACTTTTTTTGGCACTATCTTAAATTAAGTACTTCTGAGGTCCCTATTTAGTAAAGCCTTTATCTAGTAAATGACATCAAAGCCTGTTTTTTTGCACCACTCCCTTTAATTTATGTATGATCTTAAAGTGAAGTCCACAAATTGGTGCTAGACATCTCTCTCTCACTGGGCTACAACATAAACCAGTGGTTATTAAGTAAAGATATCAATCAGCTAATAAAGAATCTCCAGTAACTCCATACCTGTTAACATCCATATTTTACTTGTGCGGTCCATGGAGGCAGAACCACAAAATCACCACATGAATGCCATGAGCAGTCCCATACAGCGTGGGCATGTCCTTCTGAAGTAAGAATTCATCCACGTTTTGAAAAGTCCCATATCCACACTGTGGTATCCCCACTTGGAAGTGACCAGCTGGGTGCCACTGTTAGGAGGAATAAAAAAAAAAGTAGATTTTAGCAAGGAAATAGGTCAAGATTTTTCACAGTACACAGCAAAATAATTTAACTGTGTTTAGAAAGACAGGTTAAGTAGCAATTCTTGGTTTTACATTAAAATACATATGAACAAAAAATTATGTTTGAAAACATTCATATTTTTACTTTACACAGTTTTCTGGCACATCATAGATGAAGTGGTCATGTATTAAATAAGCTATCAAAAGAAAAGAAAAGGAGATATGAAGTAGCTATCTTCCATGGGAAAGTAAATATGGGTTCCAAAAATTACATTCTTACTTTTTGTAGTCTATTTATGAGTTTATCAGTAAAATAACTTAAGCCCGGAGAACTGCTTTCAAAATAGAATAAAATAGCTTCACGGAAGAATATTTTCTTATTTCCCAAATCCATACCTTTTTCTCCATATAGATGATTATTTAAGCATCACAATTTTGTCTCTTCTGACTCAGTATAAACACTTTAACATACTCACTATCTCTTGGGGTCATTGGTATGTTATATAAATGAAAAATACAGAGTTCAACTGAGTTTTTTTGGCCAAATCTTCAGAGATAAACTAGTATAGTTCTATTTCGTTTAAGCATGGGACATACAGCTTCAGACTAAAAGTCCACCTGGTTCAGTAACATGTCCACGACAACTAGTAGGGGGTTCTCAGTAAAAAGAAAATAATAAGAACAAGTATGTAGAATGATTCTCCTATTAAACTCTCCCAGACCTAGCCTGTGGCTCAGGATTTCTTTGAGACAGAAGCTTTGTGCTTAACAAGCATCCACAGAGGTTTTTTCCATGACTAATTGATTTTTGAGCATATGCAAACCTTTGGCACCCACAATCTCTTTTGTGAATGAATTCCAAAATTTAATTATGCATTGTGTGAAAAACTATTTTGGGGTCTTAAATACCTTACTTCATTTCATTTGATGCTTCTAGTTCCAATACTGTGATAGAAAGCAAACACTGACTACACATTTACCACCTCTAAACCAACTGTGATATCACAGCTCCCCTATCATATTTTACTCGCACAGCTGAAGACTCCTACTCTATTGACTCATTCCTCATACAGCCATCATTCCATCTCTTTGATCACATTTACCATCTTTCTCAGCACCTTTTGAGCTGAAACCGAAGAAACAGGTACCCAAGGAAGGTATACAATGGCACAACAGTGTTTTCTGGTTTGTTCTGTATTCTTTTAATTTGATTAGCATTTTTGGCACTACTACACAGAAATTTTCAGAAAACTGACCACAGTGGCTCCAAGAGTTCTTTCCTGAGTCCTAATAATTTAGACCCATTCTCATCTATGTACAATTAGGACCATTTTTTCTTAGGTGCGTTACTTTGCCTTCATCTGCATTGACTTTCATCTGCCACTTCACTGTCGAGTCCACTGTTGCAGCTGGAATTCTCTTCCTGTAATTCTTCACATGCAACCTTCATTTTTACTGCCCTGACTAATTAGCAAACTCATCCACCTCATTCTCTTCCCCCATTTCCAAGATGGTCTTAATAACTTCAGTCCCAGCACAGATCCCTGTGGGACTCAAATAATAATTTCTCCATTCTGAAAGTGACATTTTATTCCTATCCTTTCAACAGTTTTTAAACTCACAAGATAAATTTCCTTTTTATTCAGGACAGTTTTGCTTCTTTGAGAGATTTTGTCAAATGACCTTAAGAAGAATTTACCGAAAATCCAGGCATACTGAATTTATGAATCTCCCTTGATCAAATGCTCAGCAAGCCCTTCAGGGAACTCTAACAGATTTGAGACTTAATTTCCAAAGCCATGCTGACACCTCCCAACGCTTCACTATAATAAAAGTATCCATGTATCCCGTAATTTTGCTTCTTAATGTCATTCCTACCAGCCTTCCCAGTACAAAAGTTGGATCAACTGATCTACAGCCCCTTCATCCCGAAATCTTTTAAAAGTATTGAAAAGAAGTTAATGCAGCCTTCCCAAAGTATACCAGTAATAATGGAGGTTTTCTATTGTGTTTACTAAAGAAAAAACAGGAAAAACGTTTGGGGATAATACACAAAAATACAGGCCAAAAATATTTTAACCTTGGGTTTTCAGACCAATTTCTGCTGTTATCTCACCAACATCAATAATAAGATCTTGCCTTTAGGATCCAATAAACTCTTCTTTTATTTGAATAACAGAAAACTGTTTATCACAGGCTGTAGAAATCCTTCTTCCAAATCTCTGGATATAAAACTGTGGGAACTCAAAACAGCTCAAGGGTTGATCCTAAGCACTGCCGTAAAACTTCATCCTAAGAATATACTCAGAGATATTCAGTTCACTGTCGCAGTGTAAAAATAGAAGAAAAAACAAAAAAGAGGTCTGGGAGGGGTGGTGTCAAGCTTTTTTTTTTTATATTCTTCCTTTCCTCCTTTTCCAATAGGTGTCCACCAGATTGTTCTGTAAAAGTACCTACTGAGACAGCTTGAAATATGTGCATCATTTACCTGATAGATCTTAAGGGGAAACTTGCCATTATGAAGTATCACCTACCTAAACTTTTAACTGTTTTTAACACTTACGGTTTAGATTGCTATTTTTTGTGAAAATATCATTATAATCCTCATTAAGGCAGTTACACCCCCATGCCTAAGACAAAGCTTTGAGAGATTAATCTCTCAAAAATTTTAACATTGCACAGGAACAATTCTGAAGCTTTTTTCACATATACCAAAGCACAAAGGCTTGAAGCCTGAGTAAGGGTTCGGAGGAGACCCTAATTTTGTCAAGCTGCTAGGAATAAATGTGCTTTTATTAATGAAACACTTGTACTTTTAATAACTCAAGCTAGATCTCACTTCTGGAGACAGATAAAATTAGCAAAATGACAAATTATCATACCCCTTATACATTTATGAAATAAGAGCTATTTTAAAACAAATTCAGAAGCAGGTATAAAGTGGGACTGATGAAATCTATAATTGATTCAGAGGGTAGTATGCACTGCCACTGTTGTGAATCACAAAGAGAGATTTATTTCTTATGCATTTTTTAATATATAATCCCCAAAATGCTACATGAAGAACTGGTTTCTTGGGCTGAATTTTAAGAACATACCATCTAGGCAGTGATGAAAATCTTTCAGAAAACAGATATGAGCAGGAAGGTAGTTCAAATGGATTCAATTTGGCAATCTGTGGCAGGGGGAAGAGTTACAAATGAGGTTTAGCGCTCCTTACAGATCAAACGAGAAAAAAGTGGAGATTGAAAACAAAAGCGTAGCTTGTGCAGGAAAAAGTCTGGAGGGACAGACTGACAGTGGAAGTAAGGGCAAAAATACTCAGGAACAGAGGGACCCAATGCCCCAGTCCACTGCAACACAAGCTCCCTAATATTCCCTGGGCATAAAGAAAGCATCACTTCATTAAAGTAAGGGGAGTTGCATCAGTTGTGTATCTGCAATTACGCATGCACGAACTTAACGTCAGTGTTTCTGGGAAGCACAAGCTGCTGCTTAAAGGAATGATGGCTGTCAGAGCTGTTTTAGCACTGGGCCTGCACTTTGTGGTCATGAAATCTTCGCCGCACACTAGTATTCAAATCAGACACACATAATGACAAAAAAGTGCTGTGTCAAGCCAAGTCAGGCATCTAAATCAAAATGCTGCTCTTAGAAAAAAATCCTATGTACTTAATAGCTGATCAATAATGACATACTTTTTCTGATTTGCAGCATTTTTTGGTCCTGGGAGATAAAAGAAACACTCCAGATTCTGAGGTAATGCTTTGTTACCCACAGCTGCAACATTTTTTTTACTGCACTATTGCTCTATACGTATGACAGAAGATTATCTGGGGGAAAAAAAATGTATCAGGAAAAGTAGGTGTTTTTAATGATTTAGGCTGTCAGTTTAACAGTCTATGATACCCACACAGTCCTCTACCATATGACTGATTTTCAAACAAAATGCATACTGATTTTTATATTAAAAACATACGGAAATATGACATTAGATGCTCAGCCTTAATTATCAGCAGCTATATACATAATCTCCATTTGAATTTAAGATTGGTCACTAACAGAGAAAGCTCCAAGTAATCCTATGCTGTGTGTATATCATTAATTCAGAGAATAATAAAACACTTAAATTCTTTTTTACCAAACAAATCAAAGAACCGGACGACATATTAGGAGACAAGAACAACACAGATCCTATCTTTTTCTGTCATTTGAATAACATTCACATATATGTAAATAACTTTGCCAACTTTCAGAAATTTGGTGCTAGACATTTTTTTTAAAGAAAGTAGCAGTACATTTGTGTACGGTGCTCCATGAACCCGATCAGTTGGGTTTATATGGTCTTGCTTGGTCTGTTTTGGGGGTTTTCTGTTTAGACTTTCTAGCAGACCAAAGCACTATAAGCAATGAAATAAAACTGTATAGTTTAGAACAAAGTAGTTGTGTAGAAAAGACTTCCAAAAATTCTAGGTAACGGAGAGCCTGTGACACCTGTAACTCCTGCATTGTCTCTATGGATAGACGTTTTTTCTTAATACTAAATATGCATACAGTTCTACCTTTCAACTGATTTCAGGTATTCCTAATTGATGCTATAAACCTCCCCTTCCAGAAACAATTAGAGTGGAAAAAAACTTTGGAAATGTTAATTCTGCGTTCCACAAAAGCAGATGGACCATTAGCTTCTCAAACCTTAACAAATCTTTCCTCCCTCGTATTCTAAACACACACATTTCCTTTCATTATACATTCCTCCTTCTTCCAGCTTCACTGTTCTCACTACAAGATGCCTCTCCATTAATACTTAGTGAGTTGTAGACATATCAATAATTAAGGGCCATATTCAGCAACAACGTGAGCCTACGGCACAGAGTTACTCTGCAACATTTCAAGTGACTGGTTACCTTTGTGGAACACCAGTCAAATGAAGGCAATAGCTACACTGATAGCGTTGCCCTGTAAAT